GAAGGCTCAAGTGAGCTTTTCTGATCACATTTTGTCCGTCGTCCGTCTGTAAACTTTTCACATCGCAGGTACGATAAGGCTTCCCCAGAGAATATTTACTGCTGCATGCACTTCTCTGAACTACAAATGTATGACGTCATAATTGAAAATGACGTCAAGTCACTGCATACTTGAGCTGTAATAATGGGGAGAGTGTCATAAACTTTACACCTTATTTCAATCTGGTTTTAAAGTTTAAAATTTAAAGTTTCAGAATGCTAGTTTAAAATAAACGTGTTTTTATCATTTGTTTTAAAGTCTTATATATCCGAATAATTTAGAAAACTTTGCTTTATTACTCTTGTTTAAGAGTCAGCGTGTTCAAACTACGAACGAAAATATACGTTCGACATTTACCCTTTTTCATTCCCGTGGACAGAGGCAGAATTCATAATATGTGTATAAAAGAGCCTGGCGCAGGTTGTTAATGAGGATTTATTTAATATTTTCTGTGGAAATATGTAAGAGGCGTTTCCCCTCTAACCGAATCCTACTTGGGAAAAATGTATGATGGCTTTGTTTTAAAACAGATGACGATATTCAGCGGAAAATACCCTCAGATTTGTCGGTAAGTTGAAGTTAATATGAAATAAATTGTTCCAAAGAAATTGTTTAACTTTTCCCAAGCACATTTTGGTTTCACAAGAATGCAACGAGTTTATTTATGTGACAAAAAGTCATTAATTATTGGGTTAATATCCTGCGCCAAAGCGATTTATGTGAAACATTTCAAAAAAAGAAGAAATGACCGTCACATGATTATCAAGGTCATGTGACATCGTAAAAATATTTTTATATATAGCCTAGAGGATTCTCTGTATGAATTTGGCGTACTGAAGTACATAACTTAAAAATAAAACTCAAAATCATCTTTGGAATGCAGTGGTACATTTTAAATGCATTTTAAGCTACGGAAAGCCTTAACAGTACTGCGATTGCGACTTCTACTCAAGAACCAATGGACCAACTTTAACCAAACTTGGTACAAAGCATCCTTGAGTGAGGGGGAGTTTAAATTGTTAAAATGAGGGACTAGGTTCCCTTGCAAGGGGAGATAATCAAGAAAAGACACAAATAAGGTGGGGTCATTAAAAAAATCTTCTGAAGAACCACTGGGCCAGGAAAGCTGAAATTTATGTGGAAGCATCCTTGGGAAGTGTAAATATTAAAATTTTAAAATCATCACCCCCGGGGGTAGGGAGGAGCCACAATAGGGAATGCAATTTTTACATAGAAATATATAAAACAAATCTTTAAAACTCTTCTTCTCGAGAACCAATGAGCCTTATATGGGAGCATCCTTGGGTAGTGTAGATATTAAATTCATGACCCCCGGGGGTAGGGCATGGCTGCAATAGGGAATGCAAGTTTTACACAGAAATATATAGAACAAATCTTTAAAAACCTTCTTCTCAAGAACTACTGGACCAGGAAAGCTGAAACTTTTATGGAAGCATCCTTGGGTAGTGTAGATATTAAATTGTTATATTCATGACCCCCGGGGGTAGGTGGGGCACAATAGGGAATGCAAGTTTTACATGGAAATATGTAGAACAAATCTTTATTAACAATCTTCTTCTCAAGAACCACTGGGCCAGGAAAGTTGAAACTTATGTGGGAGATCATCTTTGGGTAGTGTAGATATTAAATTGTAAAATCATGACCCCCGGGGGAAGGGAGGGAGGGCACAAAAGGGAATGCAATTTTTACACGATGGGTATAGCAAGAGCGGAAATCTGCTAAAGAAACTGCATCACCCAAGTTACTCCGGTGAGCGATGTGGCCAATGGGCCTCTTGTTTTCTGTTTTATCATATGTTGCAGGTGTTTTAAGTTTCAGAAACTTGATATTCTCTGCCTACTAGCATGAAATAATTGTTCTGTAATTGATCATGAATTTGTCAGTCTTTTGACAAATACGTGGTATAGACGTGTTAATAGGCAAAAATATGCAATTTCATCCTTTGCAAGATGACTCATTGATACGTCCTCTGTAAATCGTTAAAACACCATAATTTTAATTGTTCATATGATACCTGTCATATAACATGTGTTTTCGATCCTCAATAATTTATATATCTATATAAGTGTAAAATCAAGGAACCTCAAATAAACTACAGGATTCTCTAATATAAGGTACGTAATCTAAATCTTCACGTATTTCAAATAAATTCCTGTATGATCAGTACAAAACTACAAGTGTACCGTTCTTCGGCTCTTTAATCAAAATTATATAAGATAAAATCCCTTTTAAAAATTATAATACTATAAAGGTTCTTGTTCAATCAGCATTTTTTAAAATTTTTCTTTTTTTTAAATCTTAATAATTAAGAGGAATTGATTAATGAATTATTTTAATACTAGAAAGTATTTGAATCCAAAAGAATTTAGCAGTTTTGAACATTCTGCAAAACAATTTTTTCCAAAAATTATCAGTTTTGCAATCTGAAAATTCTCTGTCCTTCACTTTATCCTTATCCCACCTCTGATGTTTCGGAGGTCCGTGTTTGCTCTGCTCTTATTTTGTATATTGTTTAATGGACGTTGAGATTGAATACTGTTCGTTATCTCCATATCCTTCTTTAAGTAATCTAATTCTGTCCTTAAGGAGACTAGGACATAGATTTGAAGCTCGTGTATTCGGAAATGTCTATATAATATGACATATGTCAGTAGAGCATTTCACACCCAAATTTATGAAAAAGCATGTTTAGAAACTTCTAATAAACTACGAATTCCGGGATGCGTTTAATTAAAACATATACATGTAGTTAGCCTGCATTTTCAGAAGGTAACCTTGCATTTTAGAAAGTAAACTTTGCCCAAAGACATGATCAAGAAGTAGAAATTATCTTTTGTATTAATGAACATTCTATTTAATTTTTATTTCATTCAGCCATGCATTTGATGTCATGTATATCCTTTTCTTAAAGACAGATTGACTCCACTGATTTTTTTATGCCAATTGGACGTTCATCACAATTACATGTAATCTTGTACATGACAACAAATGTTGACTGATTGACATGATTGTTTACAGAACTAAATATACAGAGAAATGAAAGATTTCACCTACTTGAAATTTGTTTGTCGCAAATAAAACAAGAGGCCCACGGGCCTTATAGGTCATCTGAGTATCACGTAACAACTATCAAACAATGGAGTTTGGTTTGTGTTTTAAACAAGAGGCAAGAAAATTCAAAATTTTGAAAGAGGCACCATTGCTTAATAATGATAAATACATTTTTAGGTCACCTGAGTAAACTCAGGTGACTTATTGCTATCTGATTTCATCCGTTGTCGTGCGTTAACATTTGAACATTTTCAGCTTCTCCTCTGCAACCACTGAACCATTTTCAACCAAATTTGGCACAAAGCATCTATGGGTGAAGGGGAACAAAAATTGTGAATTTCATGATCCCTGTCCCCCTGGGGCCTGAGGGGCGAGGCCAAAACCACTAAAATTGATGCAATCTTTAAAAATCTTCTTTACTCCTGGACATCAAGCAGTCAAACTGTTTGCATAATTGTAATCAGCGTTGAGTCCTCTACCAAAATCGTGAAATTCATGGCCCTGGGGTCAGGGGTTCTAGTGCTAGGGCGGAGCTAAATAAGTATGTAATGAAAATGCATTATTTCTTTGAAAATCTTTTTTTGCTCCTGGGTATTAAATAAACTAAGTACATAGTTATGATGAGCAAGAGTGCCTCTACCAAAATTGTGAATTTTATGGCCCGAGGGTCAGGGTTTCTAGTGTTAGGGCGGGGCTCTATTGATTATATGGTGAAAATACATGAATTCTTTGAAAATCTTCTTATCTGCTCCTAGGAATTAAACTAAGTGCATAGTTATGATGAGCAAGAGTGCCTCTACGGAAATTGTGAATTTTATGGCCCCAGGGTCAGGGATTCTAGTGTTAGGGCGCGGCTCTATTGATTATATATTGAAAATACACGAATTCTTTGAAAATCTTCTTCTCTGCTCCTGGGTATTAAATAAACTAACTAAGTGCATAGTTATATTGAGCAAGAGTGCCTCTACCGTAATTGTGAAGTTTATGGCCCGTCAGGAGTTCTATAGATTATACAAGTGAGGATTATGTCAATTTTGCACTGTTATAGTCATGATTATTTTGTTTGTTTCTTTATTGTATATGCCTCCAGAGGACCCTTGATTGGTAAATAAATAAATATATATATATAAAGCTTTAGTGAAAATACATGAATTCTTTGAAAATCTTCTTCTCTGCTCTTAGGTATTTAATAAACTAACTAAGTGCATAGTTATGATGAGCAAGAGTGCCTCTACCGAAATTGTTAATTTTATGACCCCAGGGTCAGGGGTTCTGGTGTTAGGATGGGGTTCTATTAATTATATAATGAAAATACACGAATTCTTTGAAAATCTTCTCTGCTCTTGGGTATTAAACAGAGGAATACCTATATAGTTATGCTGGACAAGGGCCCTAATCTTCCAGAATTGTGAATTTCAAGACCCCAGGGTCAGGGGTACCATAGAAGGGGGGCGGTACTTATATAGTGAAAAGGAATGAATTGTTTGAAATCTGCTCCTTGGTATTAATTAAATATTTTTGAAAAGCAGGGATGCCTTTTCAAAAATTGTGCAATGTGTTGATCTGGGCCTAAGGGTCAGGGGTTCATGTGTGGTAGGGGCACTACCGATTATTGCTGAATATTACTGATTAGTTGAAATGCATTTTTTGTTCCCCTACTCTGCCTATGGGTATTAAGTAAACAAACTACGCAACTGTTAAGTGTATCGTTAAGATGATCAAGGGTGCCTCTTTCAAAATTGTGAAAGTCATGGCTTAAAACATGAATCAAATTCAATCACTGGAAAGTTGTTACATAATGCTAACGTGACCTATAAGTCCCATGGGCCTCTTGTTCAATATAAATTATTCAATTTGTTCTAATGTCGAGCATGCGTCGAGATATAATGTTTACAGTCTAACTAAACCAAAGGTGAGTAGGGCAGACATATAGTCAAAATTTCTATTTAATTTAATATAAGACTGTAAAAAATATTTATCGTTAGTCATTTTTCTCCTCAAGGAAAGATGAGAATCCTGTTGTGTTGTTACTTTTCGCTTCTCTTGCTGACGATGCAGATGGAGTTTCTCTCCGTCCAGGGATATACGTTAATGAAGCATTTGGCCCAACAAGCCAACGCTCTGGAATATGGACTAAAATTGGCCTCCAAATCAAAGTGGGGACATGGTAAGTGTTAGGTATTTAGTACGATTGATTTGTCATCAATAATTTTGTCATTCTGAATTATAACTGGTACCATTGTTTTTTATTACCTAAATATGTCGGCATGAACAATTTCAAGTCAATAATTATTACCAGGTAAAGCATAGCAAGCCAACTTTTAATTAAGAAAATCTTTACCTGCCATAGAAATAAATGGTTAATATCTGTAGGTTTTAAAACTAAAGCATTTGAGACAAAAAAAGGAATTAATGAATCGCATTACATGATTCATTTTTATTTGTTCATAATTTCAGGTCATGGAACCAGAGTTGCTTTTACAGCAGTCCCATCCAGTACAAAGAAAGTTCGTAGCGGCAACTACGTGTACTACAACAGCATTATTACCAATGAAGGGCAAGCTTTCAAAAACGGGCACTACTTCCAAGCACCACATGATGGTCTTTATGCATTCACCTGGTCAACTCGGCCCTATTCTACCAACCAAGCACAAACCAGTATCCGTGTGAATAAAACCCCAAAACAGTATCAATATTGCTTCACCGGTACTTCTTCCTATACCGATTCTTGTTCCACATTCATCATACTGAGCTTGAGCAAAGGGGATAAAGTATCTATCCATTCCGATTCTTCAAGTACATATATACACGCAACCTACTCCTCGTTTTCCGGCATGTCATTGTAAAGTGATGATTTGTAATTATGCAAATAAAGATAAATAATCCTCTGCATCCTTTTTGTTTTGCATTAGGTTTTATAAAGTATGCTAAAAATATAATGTTAGTAGAATGTTAAACTGCGTACTAACTAGTCCCTCTTTCTGGGACCGTATAAACCGAGATTCTGTATCGTAATAGGTGATGGCACAAAAAGATCCCTCGCTGCACAATGGCCGTAAGTGCCGAGTATATGACAAAAATTGCAGCTCTCCACCAGCAAGTGGTGGCGTTCCCATATGAGTGAAAGCTTTTAAAGAGGGGTGATAAACAACAAACAAAACTAGATGCTGTCATGAGACAGTAATACCCGCACTAAGGTGTTTGCCTCTAAATGCACACTTCTTCATATTGGGCTTTACCAAGGAAAAAAGTCAATATAATTCAATAATTTACATAATACATGTATTCATCAAATTGAGCACAATATGCTCAGGTGACCATGTAGCTGCAGATCTGCAGCGTTATGGTTTTATATATTTGTCTTTGACCATAACGCTACAGATCCCCATATGCAAAAAAGGTGCAATTTACGGCGCATTATTTTTTGCGCTTTTTTGGGCAGTTTTTCTCCACTTTCTAGCATTGGTCAATCAACTACCTTTCACTCCCTAATTTTAGACACATTCTGTAGCCAATATGTATATTTTGTCCACCTCCCAGCCATTTATAGTCATCTCTACAGGCAATAAACTCGCTTGATGTGAATTTTTAGCAATTTAACAAATAATTTTAATCAAGCGAGTTTATCACGTGTAGAGAAGACTATCAAAGGATTGGAGATGGATAAAATATACAGATTAGTTAAACAATGTGCCTAGAATTAGGGAGTGAAAGGTAGTAAATTAACCGATGCTGGAAAGTGGAGAAATTCTCCCCAGAAGTGCGCAAAAAATATTGCGTCGTAAATTGCACTTTATTTGCATTACAGGATCTGTAGCTTTATGGTCAAAGACTAAGATATAAAACCATAACGCTACAGATCTGCAGCTGGTGACCCATGGGACTCCATCTTTTTGGTATTTCATATTCATAATTGATTACCATTCGGAAATTAAACAACAGAATTAAATTAATGATGTAAATTAGGTTTGATAAAAGGGGGGGTGTATAAATTTTTGGCACATACTGTATAAGTGGAAATTTTAGCGAACCGCAAATTTAGCGATTTCTACCTAAATCTGGTATTTTATTTTTAGCGAGAAGTAATTTTAGCGATTTTTAAAATGCTAATTCAAGAAGCTTTTACAAATAATAAGCAATTAATTTTCAGCGGTATTCAATTTTAGCGATGTCAGCACCCTCGCTAATAATGCCAAAATTAAATCCTCGCCAAAAATTCTACTTGTACGGTAATTGGAACTTTTTAAATCTATTTTCTAATATAGATTAACAAAAATTAATATTATTCAAATTAGTGTAAAGCGTTTTTGATGATTTTTTCAAAATGTGCAAAGTTTCTTTATATTTGATAAGTAGAAACTTCTTGAAAGCTGCCATGTACACAATCAATTTAGTCAACCCCCACCCCTCTCCCATCAACACACAAACACACCTTATTTGTCTGTTTTGGGAAATAGGCCTAGATGGCAAAGTTAAAATAAAACATCTTTTTTAAATGATAATTTTCAATTTGTTCTTCCACTATACATGTATCTGAACACCTGCATCACATTGGGCTTGCGTCACGTTACCAATTTAAGTACTAGTTTTACCATTGGCATTATCATTTTAAATTTCACTGCACGTGCAGTAGGCTAATAGTCTGCATCATTGCATATATGTCAGTAGGAATTATTTCATTTTGTGTTTTAACTGGATTATATTTCATGAAGATGACAGGGCCTAAATAATGACAATCGGTAAGTACAAGTTTTGGTATAGATTTGGGTAAAATAGTCTGAAATGCAAACGGATAAGTTCAAGTTTAAAGGATCAAAGGTCATCCGATGCTACAATAGACGAATTTCACATTCTGAAGAGTTATCCCCCGTTATCAACGTTACATTCAGTTACAAGATCCAGAATTTTTTTTCTGGGAGGGAGGGGGGGGGGTGTTCCAGACCAGAATTTCCTGAGAAGCAAAAAAAAAGAAGTGATGCTTGGGTCTGTTTTCTAGATTGGAGGGACACTTAGGGCATCCAAAGTCATTTTTATTTCCTCCAGTATATATTATAGTCCTGCAAATTCCCGGGGGGGGGGGGGGGGGGGGGTAGGGTTGAGCTTAACCTTGACCTCACTTTTCTAAAATTAATGTCTAGATCAGTTTTGAATAAACAATTCAAGATATATTTATCAAACTCCATATGCTGATACATTCTGCTGAGAGGTATAAATACATCAACTTATTTTGACCTTGAATTTTCCTTTGACCTTGACCTCACTTTTTATATGTTTATCTAAGTTTTAGATAAACCATTAATTATAGTTTTATCAAACTTCATATGCTAATAGTAAATTCATACTGATGTAAGCTTTTCAATTGCAACAACCTTTCCTTTGACCTCTCTTTTTTTAGAAAAAGTGTTCAGCTCAGTTTCATTAAATCATTCAAGATATTTTTATCAAACTTAATATGCTGATATGTATTAGTGAAGCTACTCAACTGCATCAAAAACCTCAACTTGCACATTCCTGTGACCTTGACCTCCATCCTTTTTAATTTGTATTTCGCTTAGTTTTAAAGAAATGATTTAAGACATTTTTAAAACATCATTTTTTAACCCACATTAGTCCCCCCGGGGCAAAATCAACATTCTAAAACCTTAGTGCACATCTACATGACACTACCAACCATCATCCAAGATGATTAGGCTACTGTGTAAAATGTAAGAGGAGTTCAGGGAAGACAGGGCTTTTTGCATAAAAAACGTCATTTTTCGACCCCCATTTGACCCCCCGGGGCAAAATCAAAATTCCGAAACCTTCTGCACATCTACGTGACACCACAACCAGGTCCCAAAAGACAATTAGGCTACTGTGTAAAATGTAAGAGGAGTTCAGGGAAGAAAAGTGTGACAGACGGACGGACGGACATGAGTAACAACAATATACCCTCGGCGAACTTTCTTAAGAAAGTGCAAGTATAATCAATATAAAGTAGAGACTAGCTGCTTTCATTTATCTGAAAGTCTACCTACATGTATTGAAAAACAGGCTTTGTGAAATTGAAATGTAATTAGTTTTGAAAAAATGGGTTTATTTTAGTATATTCAGTTAATATTCAACCTTTGATCCAAAAATAGCACATGGACTACATTTTTCCAAAACAGTATTTCATTGTGAAACATTTTGGATCAGAGGTTGGGATCTATACATGTACAAAATATATGAAAAGAAAAATATAACTAATATCTTGCTCAAGTTTGAAGAAATTTTAAGTTTTGAGGTATATGAAGATATGAGGTATATTCGTTTGTTTTTCTCAATTACGTATTAAGCCAACACAACATTTCTGTTTACAATTGTTTCGTAATTTCCAGTATGCACAAAAAGGAACACCATAAGTTGGTAACCGTAGGTATTAAATAGTGTGTAATCAAGATCGTGGTTTTCCTTTCCGCTTCCTTCCTAACTTAACCAAGTTTTACTAATTCACAAATGAACTCCTTTTGAAAGAACAATCGATAGATATATCTATTATACAGAAAAGCCTATTTTCCGAGCAGGAGAGGTCGTTATGTCTTTTCTGTGAAGTCGAAATGTCTATGATTGACCTTTGGAAGTGCTACCTTGTTATAATGTGTTTTTAGAGAGATGGTCAAGGTTATATTTGAAATTAATAGGAACACATAGAAGGGACTTCAAAATGCGTATCGTTTTAACATTCATATGTTCCTTTTTACTGACTAAAAACATGGGATCGCATCAATTGGAAAAGAAAAAAATTATCTTTAAATGCTTCATAAGTTCATAATTAAGAGTATACCAATATTAAGGGCATTGTTACGCCATATATGTATGCACTGCAGTGTCACATTCAAGTAGTGGATGTAGGGGGGAGGGGGTTTCTCGAAATTATAGGTCTATTAAGTTTTACTTTGCTTTTAATTAGAAAGTCCTAGTGTATCTGCATTTATATAACTTGACATAAATATAGCCTACTTAAAGATTTAATGATAAAAGCCATAAGAAGAAGATATCGAACAGTACACAAGATCAAAAGTTCATTAGATCAAGACATCCTAGGAGTAAATCATTGAAATGTTATCAAAAGTAAAAACTGTAGGAAGTGTTGACCATATTTGACTCTTCCCTGTGTAATAAACTGTTCAGATAAGTTCCCTCTTTTCTTACCCAGTCTTTTTTTAAGGAAGAAGTCTTTCATTTAGTGATTTTTTTCCTTTTCGTTTCCATGTTAAACTTTTGTCGCCCAAACCATCTTTTGGAGGAAAAAGAAGATTTGTACAATATTTAATATTAAAACCTTTACTTCAATGTAAACTTTTCTTACTCAGTTGTTCCTGAGAATCCTCTTTGTTTTGGGATACTTTGAGGTAAATTTATTGACACTGGTTCAGCAATTTATTTGACGAGTATATTTCAAAAAATGTTTGCTCTCTTCCGACCGACTGGGAAAAAAAGGCCCGCCTAAAAACAATATTTTTGACCCCAGGAAACTGCTCCTATTTTCCTTTCCACTTTTAATAATCAGTTCTTCTTACCACGGCAGAGGGGCAAACTTATTTCTAAAGATTGACCGAAGCAAAGTTACTTTTCTTTTTCTTCTCAGACATACATTGAATGTATGACCTGAAAGTAAATAAAATCCTTCTTTTGATAACTAGTCCATAAGACCATTGAAACACGATACAATGTCATATTTAAAAACTAAATAAGCTTTTATATGACAGTATTCATCATTTTAACAAAAACATAAATTTATAAACCAAAGAGATTGCATGGTAAAACTAGTACCATGCACTGCTTTATTTCAGGGGAGAACTTTGGAAGTTGCCAATGCACCATTTAGAGATATTCCAAAAATATGTAGTTGTGGCAAGAAACACGCAC